CCAAGTTTCGATACCCGTGGTGGGCAGAGCACAGATAGCACATCGTGTAGCTTTGTACTTAATTACAAACAAATAAACAAATCATTTATATTGTAAATAGCAAAACAATCATGTTAATCTTCATTTGAAGGAATGATAGGAAAACTTAATAGCATCTCCAAGCCTTAAATTTAATTTTTTTAAAGTTTGCAATCAGAATTCTGTTAAAGTAACAAAAAGTGCATATATAAATAAAACTTTGCAATAAGCTAAAATATAACTAAATTATAACTATGTTGGTAAGAAAGGTACGTGTGAAAGTAGCGCCCCATATCATGAAAACACTGTTATTTGCAAACCTCAAATGTGAAACTAAGTAAAGAGCCCGGCATGGCCAGGTGGATAAGGCGCTCGACTCACAATCTGAGGGTCGCGGGTTCGAATCCGCATCCCACCAAACATGCTCGCCCTTTCAGCCGTGGGGGCGTTATAATGTGACAGTCAATCCCACTATTCCCTGGTAAAAGAGTAGCCCAAGAGTTGGCGGTGGGTGGTGATGACTAGCTGCCTTCCCTCTAGTCTTACACTGCTAAATTAGGGACGGCTAGCGCAGATAGCCCTCGTGTAGCTTTGCGCGAAATTCCAAAAAACAAAAAAAACAAACTAAGTAAAGAATTATTGACCAGTAGTTTTTATTAAGCTGAAAAATAACTGTAGCTGGAGTGTAGAGAATAATAATAATTTTACTAATACGTTGAGGTCACGAGTCATTCATACAGGGTTCCTAATGTGATTCCAATATTTTCGAGGATTTATAAAACACAACAAACGATCTCCAACAGTTTCATGCTAAACAAAAATTTAATACAGAAATTAGTATTTTGGTTAGAAACTATTTCTGTGACGACACATGAGTGGCCAAGTTAAGAAAAAGTGCTGGAAAAGTAACATGACCACAAAGAAATACATGTCTTTCCCTTTTTTAAAAAAACAAAAACGTAGAGTATAAAGATTTCCTCTGGCAGGATAAAAGAACAAAATACAAGCTGGTTAAAATGAGTTACTATTTAATGAGAAAGGCACAATCACAAGGCTGATGAATGTTTGGATAAAACGTAGAAATTTGTTAATAGCAAAAACAAAACCAGAAAAGTTATTGTAATTACTTGATCGCTGACGAGGTTTACTTTTTAAAATACTTGATGAAAATAATGCTTTTTTATGTATTATACAATTATTTTAATAGTAATTGTTACTCAAATGAAACAAGTTACATACATAACACACAAACAAGAAAAACATGATGTAATCAATAGGAAGTGCATAACATCTGTATTCCACAGGATACAGACTGCCTCTATTTTACTTCCATCCTCTTAGAGAATCCCTTGAAAAGTTCCAAGGGAATAGGGAAAACAATGGTAGAATTCTTCTCGGCAGCGATGGAGTTCAGAGTCTGGAGATAACGAAGCTGGAGAGCAGCTGGAGAATCGGCAATCACCTCAGATGCCTCTCTCAGAGCCCTGGAAGCTTTCTGTTCACCCTCAGCAGCAATCAACTAAAATTTATACAAAATTTTAAATAATAAGCCTATAAAAGGATCACAGCTTTGTTCTCAACTTCTAATATGTTAGAGAACATTTATGCGAAATGAGGCCATGGAAGGTTAAAATATTAAACCTTAAAACATGTCTATTTACAAAACTAGAATCTAAAATCTGTATGTAGCACTTATTTTGGATGAAATGAGAAAAACATTATGCTGTGAAATTTTATAAAGAAAAGACGACATACAGCTACAAAAACTTGCCTTTGCACGAGCTTCTCTAGAAGCTTCAGCCTCAGCTGCCATTGCCCTTTGAAGTTGTACAGGTAAACGCACATCCTTACTGTAAAATAAAATATACAGTTATATTTCAACACTAAATGTCACCACTTGTGTATCTACTGGTTATAATCCTTTACTTGCCAGGTGAAATTACCATGTTTCTATTTTTTACAAGTTATATTCTTTTCCTCTGTTCCAGTACATATTTACTTTTTTTTCTACAGTATAAAATACATTCTCGTATAAATACTGCACCATTCTATAAGCAAGCGAAAGATTAAAATAGTATTCAAGTAAACAAACAACTGTGCACACTCATAATTGTACCATCATATCAATAGGAAGAACAGAAGTTATCATAAATACACTTAAAGTATTTCATATATGCAGACAGAATAGCTCAACAGCACAATAAGAAACATTACAGTTCGATCTTGTTACTGCTAATGCAGAAGTCATGCCAAAGCTAATATGTACAATTAAGATTTCATTCCATCCTAAATATGAGTTGGAGAATCTGTGGCAGATCAAGCGGTTGATATATTAGTGAACAGTCCAATTTATGTTGAATATCCTAGGTTTCACATTTATCGTTCCACAACCAATCACACCGAACTATCATTTACAGCTTTATTATTAAACTCAAAAGCCAACAAAGTGCTTTATTTTAAATATCTTAGTTAGAAGCACAATTAGGGGTAACTACATTCAGGAGGTATAAACTAACCTATACAAGTGTAGTTAATATTTCATTTACACACATGGCCACCAAAAGGAAAGAATGCATTTAAAATTGAGAAACTAACTAACGTATATGTTAATCATACGGTTACAGAGTTGTGTTGTTAGTTGTTAACGATACGCTTGTTTTAAAACCTTAGCCACACACACCTTATATTTGCAAATGTTTTGTGAGTATAAACTTATAATCAACTTCGTACGATATATTTAATAATAATAAATATAACTAAAAAATAAACTTTCATTTCCACTCTTTCAACTTTGACTCCCCAAGGGTCAGTCCCTTCGTCCAGATTTTCTTGCATCACATGACTAATACTCTCCCTTTCAGATAGTATTTCAGACAAATTTTTCGTTCCCAGAACATTCCTGAGAGTGGTTGCCGCTAGGAGGCGTGTTGAACGACCGTAGTCTTCAATATTAGTAATGGCAATAGTAGCATTGCTAATCCGATAGTAAACTACCGCATCAACCGCTACTGTTACAGAATCCTTTGACAAGATCTACAGATAAAAACAACTATATGCAATTATTTTGAACTATATAAATGCGTGTAATTTCAAAAAGTATCATCAGCTTGAAAGATCAAAGTTTTGTTCTTGTGTATTTTGCCTTATTATTTCAATGTCAGCCAAACAGTTACATTTTTCTTCATTAGAAAATAACAAACAAACAAGAAGTTATTTGTCTTGCGATAGTTGTTTGTGTTTTAGCGCAAGGCTACACCATGGGCTATCTATGCTGTGCCCACTACGGATCAAACTAGATTTTTAGCTTATAAGCCAGCCTCCCCCCCCCCCCTCAGTGGCACAGCTGCATGTCTGCTGACATACAACGCTAGAAACCGGGTTTCGATACCCGTGGTGGACAGAGCACAGATAGCCCATTGTGTAGCTTTGTGCATAACTTCAAACAAACAAACAAAAGCTTATAAGCCCTCAAGCTTACCACTGATCTATTTAGGGACTATATGTACGCGATACTGTAAATGAAAGTTTTATGCATAAATAAGTACTTGAAAAAAAGGAGTTAAATGTCCGTTCCTTTTGTGGCCATTGTTGTAAAGAATGTACGATGTTACAGTTTAATATTAATATCTTTATGTCTATAATATCTCCCACTGGAAAATATGCAACTCTATTCATACTACGTATAACAACTCAAAGATCAGATTTGAGGGTAAAATATTCCTTATTTTCGTAGTTTAATTCAAGATGAAATTCATTACTTACTAAACGAAACCTTGCTAGTAGGGTTAGATCGAAAAAATTATCCTAACGCATTTTGTCCACAAAATTCACAGCACAAAAAATATCGGAAAATGTATAAACAAGAAGAATCCTAGAATAAAGTGAATAGGTAACCTTATGAAACGGATGTACAACAGTCACTTCTAGGTTGTACCTATTGATGTATGGGTGTGTGTGTTTTCTTATAGCAAAGCCACATCGGGCTATCTGCTGTGTCCGCCGAGGGGAATCAAAACCCCAAGTTTAACGTTGTAAATCCGAAGAGTTACTGCTGTCCCTCCGGGGGATGTACCTATAGATGACAAGTAGACTTGTTGAAATGCTGTGTCCCCCGGTGGGTCACCAGTAAGTTTACACACTTATAACACTAAAATCCGGAGTTCGATCCCCCGTTGTGGAAACAGTAGATAGCCCACTTTGACTCTGCTCTAAAACATATATGTTGTATTTTGACCTTTTTCTCTATTTCATCTTCCCAAATAGTCATTATAAACGTTTATTATCACTAACAGCAATTTCAAATCGAATAAAATACTGCAGAAAAACGTGAAGACTCAGCCGATTGTAAAGGAGAACGTCCATGTTTTTACTAGTGGTGATTAGGCTATCTAAATCTTTGTGTGACTGTAAAAAGAAAAGAATTTCTTACGAATGATCATTAACTTCCGATTTACGAAAAGCCCTGTAGGCTATATACCTCTTGTGGTGGAACATCGAAGGACACTGTTCTGAGATCCACTTTACGATAAGTGTCGATACAGGGAATAATGAAGAAAAGTCCTGAAATAAAGAATTAACACTGAAATATTACCGAATAATAAAAATAGGTAATTCGTTTAATGCTAAACATAAAAACAAAATATTGCATCAATGGCATTTGTGGCTTTTTCTTCACGTACATCTCTCACTCTGTGTGTTTAAGGCTCGTTCTTATAATTAATTATCACGTCCCTTAAAGTAATACAAGTATAGATCTTCACGTACATCTCTCACTCTGTGTGTTTAAGGCTCGTTCTTATAATTAATAATCACGTCCCTTAAAGTAATACAAGTATAGATCTTCACGTACATCTCTCACCCTGTCTGTTTAAGGCTCGTTCTTATAATTAATAATTACGTCCCTTAAAGTAATACAAGTATAGATCTTCACGTACATCTCTCACTCTGTCTGTTTAAGGCTCGTTCTTATAATTAATAATTACGTCCCTTAAAGTAATACAAGTATAGATCTTCACGTACATCTCTCACTCTGTCTGTTTAAGGCTCGTTCTTATAATTAATA